GGAAAAGAGGGGCAGGGACGAGGGCAGAGCAGCACGGGAAGGACTTGCTAAGAGTGTCAACTGATCTTGTCCCAGCCACTGTTCAGCTCTGGGCCATAACTTCCTTCACTCACAAAAAGAAATCAGAGGGAAATACCTCTGGCTAGCTGAGAGCAGAGTATCATACCAAGAGATCAGAGGCTTCTTATTTTCTGCCTTTTTTTGTTTTGTTTGTTTTCTTCTTGTTTTTTCTTTTCAAGAAGCACCTAGTTGTTCCACTTAAAATAAGACTAGAGGGACTACATGTGAATATTAGACTTTTAGGTTACACTTGCTGCTATGTGGGTTACACTCATACTGCTGCATTGCAGGCTCAATGCCAATAAATTATCCTGAAGGTAGAAACAAAGAACAAATGATCAGAAGTGTGCATATGTTAAATTATGGTTAATGAGAATGATAAAAAGCTAACATGCCGAAGAACTAACTGCATACTGAACCAGCTCTTATACAACCAGAAGAGAAGACTAAGACAAAGAAAAAGAACATATGCAAAAAAAAAGTCCTACAGGACTAATCTTATCTATCAAAAGCTCCTTTTCCTCAATTATAACAGCTTCCCAAGGGACAAGGAACCAGCGCTCACTAAACAAATGCACACACATTATTTCCCAGATCTGGTTATGCTGGTTTCCCCCTTTATCTTGAATTATAGCACTGAAAACCCATCCTCATTGCCAGTTTCACCACACAACTACAATTAAAAAAAAAAAATACAACAAAAAAACCCCAAATAAACAGGGTGCTGTAACAAAAGGCAGAAATTGGCTGCAAACAGGCAAATATCTGGACTGTAAATAGAGTCCAAGTGGAAAAGTAAGAATATCAGCATAAAATACAGTTTCAGGTCACAGACTCCAAGAAACACATAATGCTTTGTTTGCAACAACATGTGAACAAGAGATTGTGGATGCACTTGTCCTCATGTGACTGTATGCCAGGAGAAGATAAAGCACAGTAATTATAAACTTGAATTGTTTGGAAATAATCCCTAGTTTGCAAGTATAAAAGATCTTATCAGTTAACAGCATGAGTTCTGTCCTGGTTTCGGCTGGGATAGGGTTAATTTTCTTCCTA